GAACCATTGGACTGTACCAAGGCCTTTGAGGACAAGAACTTTCTTTTCTGGATCCCTAATAAATGTGGCTGTAACACTGGAAGGAGGAATTAATTGGAAGACTGCATCTGCACAGAGGCTGCTTCCCAGAATCCTAGATGTGTATGTTGCAGTGGAAGCATTGCTAGTCTAAAGGGTTGTGGGCTCAGGGTCCTGACCTGACTATCACAGGGTCTCAGGGAAGGTGGTGGTCAAGGGGAAGGTGGTAGCTAAGCTTGACTGCCCTAAACTGCCTCCTGTCTCTCCCTCAGGGATCTTTACTGCTTCACCTAAGCAGGCTTACCTGCCCCATGAGTGGTAAATCTCTTCATCTTACCCACAAGAACAGCTTTTGTCAGCATCAAATAGTGATAGGGACTGGACCTGTGATTTTGTTGATGTAATTCCAGAAAAGAAATGGAGCAGTGCAGGTCAGCACCTTCTCTAAAGCTTAGATTCTTAGGAAATTGCTTGGAGCACCAGGAGGTTAAATGATTTGCCTATCTGAGTCAGGATCTGAACCCAGATCTTCCTGGTTTTGAGGCTAACTTTCTATCTACTATTGCCTCTCAGTTCCAGATGCTTCACTAAAATCTAGCTAAACTGTATCAACAACATTCCCTTAATCTACCAATCAAGTAACCATGTCAAAGAAGGATATGTGATGTTCTCCATGAAGATCATGTAGACTCTTTGTGATCGCTGCTGCCTTTTCTAGGTGTTCACTAACCATCCCTTTGATGGCATTTACAAATTTTGTCTGGAACCAAAGTCAGGCTCACAGCCCTATAGTATGCAGACTTTACTCTCTTTCCTTTTTGAAAATTGAGGTATTTGCCCTTTTTGGTCCTGTGACACCTCTTCTGCTCTGCCTACTATTTCTTTCTTTAAAATTTTTTTTTATTAATACTCTTTGTTTTTGCAGCACAGACAGATCTAGTTCTATCTCCTTCCATTTGTGTTGCCACCACCACCAAAAATTAATTTCCATCATCTTTCAAAGATCACTTCCAGTGGTTCAGTAATCCTATCTGCCAGCTTTTTGGGTCCATGGGAATATAAATCATTTGCTTGGCACCTTGAAGTTATCAAGGACAGTTAGGTCCTCTCTTACCATCTCCCTATTCATCTTGGGTTTCAGCCCTCTGTTAGCCACTTTGGTTCTGCCATTTTCAATCCGAAGGCCATTCATCTTCTCAGAGAGAAAAGAAGCAGAAATATAAGTTGAAGAATTCTGCCTTCTCCCAATCTGTTGTGATTATCCTATGCACCCCAAGCAGCGATCTTACGCTGTCTCACCCCAATAATCGCTAGAAATGTCTCTTCATTCCATTTGTGTGAACTCCCTGAGAAATAGTGATACCTTAAAGAGAAGAAATGGAAAGATCAAGCACCTCAGAGATGTTCAGTAGTAGAATTGCAGGCCAAAGGCAGCTGGAGTTGATCTTGTGCTATTTCTTCTAAAGTCAGCGTCATTTGTCCTCAGTAAACTTGAGAGGCGGGGAGAGCTGTTGGCAAGGAGAGCAGTCCACTCCATCATAAGAAACGTCATCTTCTAAAGGATCTGAGTCTTCTCTGAGGTGTCAAACATACATTGGTGAAATATAGCTGTGCTGGGGAAGAAGACATCAAGTGTCTTAAGAGCTCACAGCCGAGTTATACAACAGCTTTCGTGACAAAGGAATAAAAACAGTACTGCTTGTAACTGAAGCTGGTGAAGCAATTGAAGGAGAATGGGTTTTTAGAGTTGGAATTTAGCCAGGCCTAACTGAACTTGCTCTCCTTGCTGAATGTGGGATCTGAACACCACAGGAGGGTTTGGGGCAGTGCCCTTGGGTTTTTATTTTTATTGATTTATTTTGTTATAAACTTAATAACCATCACTGAAAACTACAACAAAAATAAGGAATGAACTCTAATGAAAACCATGATTAGCATTTATAGGATAGAACGAAACTAACCAAAGACAAGTGGTAAGTATGTTTGCTCTGTGTCCTCAACCAAGTCTGTCTGAAGTCTGGCTGTTTGGGGCTCTCTTTTCTTTTACTGGCCCCATGATTTCTTCAGTCTAGGGATATCATGGAGGGTAGCTAGGTGGTGCAGTGGATAGTGTCAGGACTAGAGTCAGGAGGACCTGAGTTCAAATGCAGCTTCAGACACTAGCCGTGTGATCTAGGGTGAGTCACTTCACCCTGTTTGCCTCAGTTTCGTCATCTGTAAAATGAGCTGGAGAAGGAACTGGCAAACCACTGCAGTGTCTTTGCCAAGAAAATCCTAAATGGGATCACAAAGAGTAACTGTCAAGATCCCAGTCAAGAACTTCCATGATGAGTACAGATCAGAATGTGTTCTGAACTTATAGGAAACTTATGGAGAATTACTTCTGGCTTTACAGAGTTGTGATATGTGTATAGCATTTTAATGTTTGCAAAAGTGCTTAATTATATATGTTTTCTCATCTGATCCCAGCAACAACTATGTGAGGTAATTGGTATTCCCATTTTGCAGAAGAGAAAGCTGAGGCTCATAGAGATAAAGTGACTTGCCCAGCATCTCCCAGCCGAGTAAGTATGTGATGTGGAGTTCAGACATAGGCCTTTCAGTATTCTATCTATTGTGAACTATAATATATATGCATGTAGCTTTTTTCTGCTGATTAAACCTGGATATTTTAAATTCAGAACAAAACTACTAGTTCAAGCTCAGGTGGATATCTTGCCAGAAGAATTAATTATGCCATCTAATCCCATGCTGGTAAAAAAAACCCACACTGTATCATGTATTTCAGCTAGCCCACGATACCACCACTCTCCTGTAAACACTTAGTCTCTTCATGTTAACTCTTTAGCTGAAGATCTAGATGAACGAATATGGTTCCCTCCCTGTTGAATGACTGACATTTCTTGAGGGGAAGGGAACCAAGATTATCTCCGCAATTCTGTCCTCTTTTCTTCCCAGGTAGAGTGGGAAGTTTTATTTTGGGTTGTGCTGCTAAGGTGTTTTGTTTTTCTTTTTACTTTCTTTGGCCTCATACTTCGAAGACTGGGAGATGGTTAAACTTGAGGTGTTTGGCCATGCCACCAAAGGACATTTTCCAAATACCTCTCTCTGACTAAGCCGATTGTTTTCTCTTTCTTTATCAGTCACCAGGATGGGTGATATACCCTTTCCAGCAATGTCTGGGTATCAAGGACACCCTCCAGGTTTGCAGAGACACAAAACTGCTTTGCTCAGCAGGTGCTTGTCTTTTTCTATCTTACATTATCCCTCTGTGTCTAGTGCTGTGTAGGACTTTCAATTTTAAGTATACAAGTCAGGGAACTAAGGGTTCTGGTTTTTTCATTGCTTATAGTTTACAGATACCATATTTGTACACCAGTGTTTCCTATTATGATTTCTGTTTATCTTTTTTCCACAACCAAGGCAGATGAGAAGCAGTTCAGTATAATGGATAGAATGCTTATTTTTGAGTTGTGGGTTCAAATCTAGCCTTTCACATTTGCTGGTTGTGTGACTCTAGGCAAATCATTTAATTTTTAGGTGCCTGGCAACTCTTGAGGCCTTTTTTTGTTTGGGGTCATTTTGCTACCCAAAGAATCTCCTGTGAGTTGTTTCTTCATCTGTCCAGGGCTTTTGATCCCATCATCAATCTGTGCTGGGAAGAGTGGGGGCAGAAGAATTTGGCAGGCAACTGAGCTTGTGCCAGCTACCCTTACCATAGAAAAATAAAGGGCTGCTAAGAAGCTGGGAAAGTAATTATGAGGGTGGAGTTCGAGGAATTATGGTCCAGGAAAGATAAGGTAAGAAGATAACATCTTCTAGTTCCTTCTTTTTCAGAAAAAGTCCTTGGGAGCAAAGGCTTTTCTCTGTAAGCCTCCCTCCAACTTCTCTTTTGGGGAGATATGCAAGTTTGGGGAGGGGCCAGTGGGGCCTCCCTTGGGGCTATATTGTCCTGGGGATGCTGCTTCTCCCTAGCTTTCTGTCAGTTTCTTGTTCCTGTCCAGCTTCTTATACTTCCCAGATGTTCTGTTTTTGCAGGAGCTACCAGTACTTCTGCATTCCACCTCTTCCAGAGTCATGGTGGGCCCAGGTGCATGTGAAGGAGCTGACTGGGTTTCTCTGAGTCAGGCTTCAGGGCCCTGTTTGTAGATGTTCACCCCCATGGCATACATGGTGACCAGGACTGGGTCTTTGCATATACCTGGGTCCTTCTGGGACTCTTCAAGCAAGGTCTTTCCTTTCCCTCACTTTATTACTGGCTTTTCAGTGTATCCCAGAAAATCTATGGTACAGAAAGTGGCAGTGCCAAGTAGCAAGGAACCCCATAATATAATTCTGCTCTGGATGATTCCAAAATTACACTTTGTCACTCTCCTTAGTTTTTATCTATTAAGTTATAAATGGGCTTCAATCATCATTGAGTGTAAAGTTCCCAGACTGGGGATTTCTCATGCTAACTGTTAAGTGCTAGGTAGATACAAAGCCACAGATGATAGGATTCCTACCCTCAAGGAGCGTACATTCTGAGGGCTGCAGCATGGACACAAATAAGTATAGTACGGGGGGAATTGAAGGAGAGAGCTCTAATAATGGGAAAATCAGGGAGGCTTCACAGAGGACAAGATAGCAATTTTGCTAATTATTGCCTAGTGAGTTGGGTAAAAAATGTATTCGTTCGGAAAAGGAAAAGAAAATTGGTGTGGAAATGAACAAGCTAGCTTTAACACCTCCCCATCCTCTTCAGCGACTAGACTAATCAGTCAGTAAGTATCTAAGTGCTTCCTTTGCTAGACACACACAAGTGCCTGCCTGGGAGAAGCTTACAGTCTATTACATAGGCCTGGTAGTGAGCAAGATAGTACACGTGAGAATATTAAAATTATGCCATTGAGTTAATTAGAAAGATATCGTGTGACAAGGTGCTTAGTATACTACGCAGATGAATGCATCAAAGAGCTAGAGAAGGGGAAAATGAATCTTACCTCTAGTCAGCAAGGAGATTTCTGTGTCCTTCTAATCCTCTCTGCCTGGAGAAAGTGGCATTGAAAAGATCTTAGAGTGGGGCAGCTAGGTGGCGCAGTGGATAGAGCTCTGGTTTTGGAGTCAGGAGGACCTGAGTTCAAATCTAGTTTCAGACACTTGATACTTACTAGCTGTGTGACTCCAGGCAAGTCATTTAACACCAATTGCCTCACCAAAAAGCAAAAAAAAAAGGAAGGAAGGAGGGAAGGAAGGTCGGTCGTAGACTCCTCTGTCTGGTGCCTGGGCCGAGACTTTGTCTTCTAGTCCTCTCTTCATTCTCACTTCTTTCCTCTCTCACTAGAGACTGGAACAAGGAAGAGCACTTGCTTTAGGGGTACGCCTGGCAGAGAGCCCCACTTGGTGATTACAAACAGTGAGTTGCAAAGCAAGCTTGTGCTGTGAAGAGCAGAGGGAACATCCCAGGTTCTCAACAGTTCTGCCCTTGGGAGCTTAGCTGGGAGACATATAGTAAGTGACTTTAAAATGTGCCCTCTGATAGGGCACACCAGGCAGTCAGTAAGCAATTATTAAGTGCCTACAATGTATCAAGCACTGGGGTTACAAAAAGAGGCTAAAAACAGTCTTGCCTCTTAAGGAGCTTACCATCTATTCACGTGAGCCAAGCCAGGATATGATATCTGGTTTTGCGTATTCTGTGAAATACAAAGAAAAACTTTCTTAGAGATATGCCTCATCCCTTAGCACACTCATTTACAGTCACACTCAGTAAAACTATGGAAAGCATTATTTAATTAACAGCCGATGCCCCCCCCCCCCATTAATGTTGCATGGTTAAAAATCACTATATAGAGGTAGCATACTCTAGGTAAGAAAATCCCCATCTGGGTGGGTTGGAAGGGGGAGAAGATGCCCTCAGCTTTTGTGGCCAGTGCCACACCAGTGGATGGCTTGTCTCCTAGAGCATTCTCTGCTTGCTCTCCTTACCCATCTCATTGCCCCCAGACTTCATGCAGCAACAAGGTTTCGGATTTTTTCTTCCCAGACTCACAGCCATGATCACTAGCTCCCTTCCCTCCCCTGGGGAGCTCTCTTGTTAGTCCCTGGACACTTGCGGGAAGAGCTGCAAAAGAAAGGCTAGTCCTTTCCAGGAAACTAATGCTCTTCACACAGTTAAACAACACTGATGGAGATATAGGGAAAGGGAGGTTATGCCAACGGTGGAGAGAACATTGGGAACCCCTGGAGCGGGGTTCACAGCGCTCCCAGTGCAACCTCCAAATTTCTCCCTTTGCTGCTGCTGTGAAGTTCACTGCATTAAAATATATTACCCAAGCCATATCCTAGGCAGCAAGGTGACGTAGTAGATAAAGCATTGGACATGGAGTCAGGAAGATCTGAGTTCAAATCCAGCCTCAGAAACTTCCTGAGCTAGTCACCTAACTTTTGGCTGCCTTAGTTTCCTCATCTGGAAAATGGGTCTAATAATAGCACCTACCTCCCAGGGTCATTATGAGGATACTATTTGTAAAGCGCTTTGCAAACCTTCTAGCACTATAGAAATGCTAGCTGTTGACATTGTTGTTTGTTGTCTACTGGCCTCCCAATTATTCCTTTTTTCTTTTTAACTTGAAAGACTTGTTTTACATTTTTTTATTCTTGAAACTTGTCCAATTTACAAATAAATAATCCATACAACGCAACTCTTTGATATATACTTTTTTCAGGCAGATAAGAGCAACTTCCAAGAATACATGGAAAATAACAAACATTTATAACCAACAGTTACTATGCAACTGGTCATTCAGTTACATTTTCAGCACAGTCTACTATGTACACCGTTTAAACATAGACCACTTTTATATAAAACTCAGATGTATACAGTTTTCTTACAGGTCCAAGAAAATGAACACACATCACAGCTTTAAAAAAAAAAAGTTGCATCACAGGGTTTCTTAAAGTTCAAATACAAAAGTGTTTATAAACTTGTGAATTTTGGCAGCAAATACAAAAATGTATGCCAGGACACCCTGTTCTTGCTGGCAGGTGCTGTATTACTCTTAAGGAGTTCAGTACCCGTCTCGCTGTCTTCCTCTCTTCCCCAACTCTTGTCCTTGATGAAGGCACTTCAGAATTTGTGCTGATGCTCCCATAAACACCCTGATTTCTTAGTTCTTCAGTCTTTTTGAATCCTATGATACACACATGCACACACGTGCATGCACACATATGCGTACTTTCCCAGGGCTCAGATAATACTCTAAGACTGTAAGCTGCTATGGAGTTGCTAAGCTTAATTGATCCAAGAATTCCCTATGCTGATGGAATTGCAGGATCAATGCTTATCCTCTGTGAAATTTTTACATATACATACATACATATATATGTTATCAAAGTAGTGACAGAATTGCTTGGTGTCCTCTTCTGTGCTTTTTGTCTTAGATGAATTTTTAAAATGTTTCATTGATCCCTTTTTGGGTGAATACCCACCCCCTCTACCCCCTTCTCTGCCCTCCACCCCCTCCAAGTAGATATCCTCCCTTATAACATGTATAAAGTCAAGCAAAACAAATCAACACATTGGCCACATCTGCATACCTCAGTATGATGAGTGGTCTTCCTGTGGTGTTGAATAGGATGGAGAAAGAGAAGAAAGAAAAAGGAGTTGGGGTGAGAAAAGAGGTTGGACAAATAGGACAGTGGTTTAGGGGGTTAATGGCAAAGTCATGCCTGAGAATGAGGTAGGAAGGAGAGAAAGGAGGATACATACAAGAAAGGATGGGAAATCGAACCCTAGACTGGTTTGTAGATCTCAGGGCCCCTTAGGATGTGAATGAGCTTAACATGAAAATGAGACCAGTCCAGGCTCAAGGTGAGGTGAGTTAGAGTAGTTGATGCCCTGGGTTTTTCCCGAGTGGCTGCAGTGAACAGAACAAAACTGAGCAGTTTGCATAAAAGGAGAGCCTGGCAGTGGAATCATTTATGCCAACTACTGTCTTCCTTGTTTATTCATTCATTCATTAATTGGTTATATATTAAACACCTGTGTATATTACTGGCTCCTAATTTAGTTCATCAAAGGCTTATTGAGTACTTCCTATATGCAGGGCATTGAGCATACAAAGATAAAAACAAATCAGTTCCTGCCCTCAGGTACTTTACTTTTCTTCTGGGGAGATATCACCGGTACACAGACCAAGGCAAGGTAGTGTGAGGAAGCAGAGAGCCCTGACAATTGGGAGAATCATGGAAGGTTTTATAAAGTCAAGCTTTGAAGGGAAGATAAGGATTCTGAGTGGCAGAAGTGAGGGGGGGATTGCATTCTAGGCACTGGGGTGTTGGCAGGGAGTGAGAGAAGAAGTTTTTGGGAGACTACAGAGGTGGAATTATTACTGAGGAATCACTCCTGGATCCACAGGATCTGGGATACTTACTCCACTCCCTGTTCTGTACTCAGGCAGGCAGTTTAGACTGGGTTCAGTCCTAGGAGAAGCACATCTACAGTAAAAGGGGTTAGGATCCACTTTGTCAAATTCTAAAACTTGTTAAGTCTCCCATCCCAACACCCTAGGGAAAAATTGCTTAAAGCTTGGGTGATGGCTCATGTCTAGGTCACCTTAAAGTGAAGAGTAAAAGTGGAACCTAATATACAGTATGAATCAGTTGTGGGGCAGATAATTTATTCCTGTACACAAAAGGAATGCTAAATACAGGACATTTCCACAACCACGAATAAGCAGAATGAAACAGATTTGGTAATTTAATTTATGGCTACTGCTATATTCAAAATAAAAAGCAATTTCACACTTCACCTTGGCTCAGCACTATCCTTACACCTCTTCTGGTGAAATGACAAGGCTTGAGATATTCCTTTCTTGTCTATGGCTATCCCCTTCAAGAATGTTGGAGGAGCTGTTTAAGATTCCCTCCTATCTCCATGTTGCTCTAATGGTAACTCCAGAGCCCCCTAGAATTCACCTGAAAAGCCAAAATCAAGTGCCAGCCAGAAATCTCTTTTAATTGCCATAGCACTCTGCCCCTGGCTACTGTCATGAGGCGGGTGAATGACCAAGGGAGCACTTAAGGTTTACTATCTCATACCAGAACACCAAGTCCTTTCAGCAGTGGGTCACCTCATGGCTAGAAGCAATCAGGGAGTTCATGTGCTTTGTTGGAGAACAGGATGGCTCCCACTACACAGGAAATGGAAGGTGTACCATGAGGAGTATATTAAAGAGTAGGAATATCGTTTTGACAGCTGTATGGAAGATGGTTTGAGGATGGATGAGTTTACAGGCCAAAATTAGGGGGCTATGGTGGCAGTCCAGGTATGAAAGGATAAGGACCTAAACTAGTGTGATAGTTTATTAAGTCTGATAGATGGATCCAAGTTGTGGAATATTTAATCAGTGGGCCTTGCCAACTAATTAGGGAGGCATAAGGGAGCAGGACAAGTAAATAACTCTAAAGTTATGAACTGGGAAGATGGTAGTGCTCTCAAAAGAAATAGAGAAGTTTATTTTTTTATATAAATTTATTTATTTTTAGTTTTCAACATTTACTTCCACAAGATTTTGAGTTCCAAATTTTCACTCAATCTCGCCCCCCCCACCCCAAGATGGCATGCATTCTGAATGTCCCTTCCCCTAGTCTGTCCTCTCTTCTATCTCTCCCCCCCTTCTCTTATCCCCTTCCCCTTATATTTTCCTGTAGGGCAGGATAGACTTCTGTACCTCATTTTCTGTATTTCTTATTTCCCAGTTGCATGTGAAAACTTTTTTTTTAAACATATGTTTTTAAAATTTTGGGTTCCAAATTTTCTCCCTCCTCCCTCCCCACCCACCCTCACTGAAAAGGCAGGAACTCAATATAGATTATACATGTGCAGTTATGCCGAACACTTCCATAGTAGACATGTTGTGGAAAACTAACTCTATTTCCCTTAATCCTATCCTGCCCCCCATTTATTCTATTCTTTCTTTTGACCCTGTCCCTCCTCAGAAGTATTTGCTTCTGATTACCCCTTTCCCAATCTGCCCTCCTCTCTATCATCCCCCTGCTTTCTTGTCCCCTTCCCCCCCATTTTCCTGTAGGGTAAGACAGATTTCCATACCCAATTAAA